TCCTGATCCACCCTACCACCACCACCACTGCGAACAGCTCGAGATACGCGACGAGGCTCAGAATGAATTAGTCCTAGTCCGTCAGGGGATAGTATACCGTATTTATTTTAATAAACGCTCGGGGATTTCGTTGTTGAAAAGGAATTTTGAGGGGGAAGCGTTTAGATACGTATGTACCGGTACTTAATTAAACGCCTCTTAATTTCACGTTGAACTACCGTAAAAATGTGTTATTACGTGATCATGAAGACTTATTTTAATTTATCGAGGTTAGCGACGGCTACTGTTCGATTGAAAATAAATAAATAAGATTTGATTTTGGGCGCCTGAGAGGATACAATTGATATTAATGCGGCTGGGCGATGTACGGGGAGGGGCGCAGACGGTGCAATCGCACCCCATAAATTGTATTAGGAAAAATATTTGCTGTATTGTTGATATGAATTACCGGTAAGATTTTTAAGCCGAGGTATAAGAGCAAAGATAATAAATAGCAGAAGATATAGCAGCTTCCCAAAATAGTGGAACATCCGGTCGGAATGCATTGTGGGTACACGGAGAAAATTTTTTGCTGCATCCGCGCGGCGGCGCTATATAGTAATAATAAAGGCGCCGCTCTCGTTCGGTTTGTTTCCTGTAGTTTCTCCACTTAGTAAAATGTTCAAATTTTACTGCAACCGCATGAGGGCGGATGTTCCATCGTTTTTAATGCAAATACGCGGAACAGCTCATTCTTCTGCTATTTAAGTTCTTTGATGAGAGTGCACTTTCCGGCACCTAGATGTCCATATTCTCATAATGTTTGCACAACTCACACCAACCATAGTGGGGCTGAGGTGGTGTGGACTCTCACGTATCCCCGCCAAATCCTGCATCCGCCTCAGTGCGGCTCCTTTAGTTTATATATTATAGTCAAAATTAGATGGGCATTCAACAAAGGGTCCAGTGAGCACAATGGTCTTTGATGAGTAGGCCTACTTTATACGCAAGTATTATACACAAAAGATCTTTGATCTCTGTGACCGTTATATCAACACCCAGTCTCTTTTATTTTATCGTGAATATTTCAAATTCAGTCATTATAGTGTATATTTATATTATAATTATACTCTGGTAGATGGGTCACGATATGCGGATGAAGAACAAAAGATTGTGTTAATAATCTCAACTGTCTAAAAAATCCAAACCTTAAAAATATGCCAACTGGAGTTTTCAGTCGGTGAAATATGCATTCTATCATACTGCATACAGTATATGCAAATAACTGACTGAACCCAATATGTAGTAATCCACCCATAGGCTGCCTAATTGAATTTTTTAAATAAAATAAAAAACAATTAAGAAACTTATGTTTGTTTTACAACCCAAAACCATTCGATTATTGTTCGATATCCACAAACTAAAGAGGTTAGTAAACATCACTTCACGCTGGTTGGTGCTAACTACTGTTAGTCTTCATGGCCATTCCAATAACAAACAATGTGATGAATTATCAAATTGCAATTCACTAAATGCTTAATTATATTTAAAGCAAATCTTTGCAGTAACAAAGTAATTAGAGAGCCGTTTTAGGAAAGGTCGTTTTTAATCGTGACTCTATCGGAAATGGTTAAATCCAGTCCTTCTCTCTAGTTAATTGGTATTTGAACAACAGTTGTAAAAAATTGTCCTGTTGAGGGAGCCAATTAATAAATCAATTCGGTTGTCGAAGATGTCAATTAAATTGCACATCCCAAATGATCACGCACTAAATTAACCATGTAAACATATTACTCCGAACAGTCACATTCGTGAAGCATTGGTGAAAAATAAATTGAAAGAGATGATATTAGAAATATATTAAGGAAAACTTTTCTTGCATTGCTTTAACCATGGACCTATTAATAAGGTTAAGGTCTTATTAATAGGTCCATGCTTTAACTCTTTTATTTTTTTTTAAATTTATCTTTTTTAATTTCTTCATTTCTTGGGAGTCGTCCATGATCGCTGGCACCTTCTGGGGCAATACACTGTCGGAGATGTCTTGGTGTCTGAGGGCGCACGGTATTATTGCTGTGACGTGATGATCACTGAGGCATTTCCCCTTCCGGGAGGTGTCGGCTATTGTGGGCGATCCCAAATTTAAAAATTAAAATGTTGACTCTGTGTTTCCATGTATTCTGTGTGTGTATGTTTGGTATTCAAACTGACAAGCCACCGCTTCTTTTGATGCCTATGTAAACAATTCGTAATATGTAATTTGTTGTGGAATTTTTCTGAATAAATTTCATCAGCTCTAAAGCATAGTATAGACAAGCTGTCACATGCGAGTATCATTATCCAGCAGACACGCAGTCTGATGTAAGTAGCATTGGCCTGCCCAGCAGATTGCTACAGACGGATTAGACCAAAACTGGCCAAATTCAACTCTTTTTTAGTTCATTCCAGACATATCAAATTTAAAATTTAAGCAAAACGTGAACACGTTACAAACTTAAAAATAGCAAAACATTTTTATTAGAGAAAGTCTTTTTATTTAGAATTTTTTAATCAATTTGGCTACCTACAAAAACAACTCACCAAACACATATTGTATTTTAAAATTAATTTATTGTGGATTTAAAAAATATTTTTCTTTCAAGCTGCTTTCTACGTTGCTGGAAACTTGATAAGTCATTTATCCGTCTTCGTAATATTTGGGTGGTTAGATAAAAGTAAACACAATAATTGCTGCGAAGCAGCCAATTCATATTCTTGACAGCAATTTGACCTCTGAAAGGTCATTGTTTGTCAAAAAACGAGTGCCTAGGACGACTGAAAAGTGGAGTTTCCTTCTTTCGTTCTGCCGGGTAAAATCAATTACTCTAGGCGACGTTTGTAGACTACCCTACTCGTACAACGTCCGCATGTCGCGCTAGCCTTATCCTACTCTATGCCTAGACTAGCTAGGATGGTATAGGCCTAGCCTTGAAGGGACGAAGGTCCCAATGAAAAACAACGTCGCTCTTTGATAGCTAACATTGTCTATTTAACATCACAATAATTCATTATTAAACCTATAG